AGGAGGCATCACATCTGTTAAATGAGAGTGCATCGCTATAAACAAAAGGGAATGCAGAGGCTCTTGGAAATTAAAAATAGCGTTGCTGAATAAAGCCCGGTAATTAATTTGGAAGACAAAAAACTGGAAATCTGCCAGAATATATAAAGAAAAAAAGGTAGAAAGCATGAAAGGAACAGTTAGAAGCCTATTCCTGTGCCTCTCAGATCTTCCTGTGCAGACAAACCATCTGCGGATCTTAAAATGCAGATTCTGACTGGGGGTCCGGGGCAAGCCTGAGGCTCTGAAGTTCCTACATCTTCTCCACAAATATAGATTAGAAGAGAACTCACTCCACCCTGGAAAAGCACCTATGAAACCCTACAGCTGTTGTCAGGGCTTCTGATCTGGCTGAAATCCTGGGGAGGAACCCTGAGTGGTCTGCTTGAGTCATGTGGTGACTGGGGTTACGGGTAGACGGACTGAGGCCAGGGAGGGGCTGTGCCTGTGACTGACAGCCCTTACTAGAGTCCAGGGTGGGAGCGGGGCAGGGGGCGGAGCAGCTCCCCCCACACGGGGCTGTGTTCCCAAAGGAAGGGCTGGCCATTGTGCAGAATGAGTGAGTACTAAGGCAGCCGTGTACCCAAGAGCACCTCCCTGTAGGGGTCCTGGGCCACAGGGCCCCCCTCCCCACCTGGCAGGGGCAGCTTCCAGGCCTCTTTGGTCCTCCTGATGGAATGTGACTCATCAGGATTCAGAGGCACCCAGGTCCAGGTGGCTCCACCTGTTGCAGCAGGGCAAGGCAAGATCAAGGCCTGTGGCTACTCCCCCACAGCCCATGAAGGGGGTCGTGGAAGAAGCCCACAAGGCAAAATGGAAAGTAGAGCCCAGGGGAGGCTCACTTGTGGGAGGGGCCGAAGCCTGGGGGCAGGCGGGATCTCCACCTCATCCCCGAACATGGGGGATTTGTGCAAAGGGCTCCAGACAAAAACTTGAGTGCCAGCAGCTTGGGGAGGTGGTGGTGTGCTGGTAAACTGATCCTCTAGAGGGGGAAGCCCAGATTCAGAGGTCTGGCGATTTCCCTGGCACAGATACTCCCTCCACGGCCAATTTCAAGCTCCCAGCTGTGTAACAACCAGCCCACAGGTTTCTGAATATTTAGAAGTTGCCTCTCCAGGGCCAGTAGGATCCATTTCAGCCCTGGTGGGGGAGAGGGTGGATGCGAGCGGCCAGGCCCCCTGGCTGCAGCCCCCAGCTGAATCCCTTCCTCCCAGCATGAAGCCGTCTGGGCTGCAGAGCTGGCTGACCCGGTGGATGGCTACCTGCCCGCGTTTCCCCACGCCACCTCCAAGCTCTGACCTGCCAGCAGCCACAGAAGTTTGGAGGTTTGCCACAGACGCTGTGGAGATGTGGCCAGCTCTGGGCCCCTGAGCGACCCCACATGCCCTCCTGTGAGCCCACAGGAGCAGTGAGCATCCCCAGGGCTGGTGTTCTTCCACGGTGGATCTCAATGCTGGAGCAGACAGAGGTGTGGGGCTGCAGCAGGACGCAGCGGATGAGCCCCTAAGCAATGACTGCTTTGAGAGAGAAGGGGTAGAGGCAGGGAGCACCGCTCAGCGCCAGGGGCGTCCTGCAGTGTGGCTGGGGGGAGGTGTCAGCCTAGTGGTGAGAACGGCAGGAGGACAGAGACTGTGACCCTCGGGGGAGGAGCACGGCTCCTCTCCACTACCCAGAGTATCACTTAGATGTGGGGACAACCCTGCTTTGTCCCCACTGGGGGCTTTTGCTGTTGGGTCTGCAGAATCCTCAGTTGCTATTGGAAACGGCGATGTCACTGGCAGGGGGCGGAGCTTCAGCTACCCTTTGAGTCAGGGAGGGGAAGTCCAATCCAGGGGTGGTGGGGACAGAATCAGGACCATGAAGGCCAGAGGGCTGAGGGAGGCTCTGGAAAGGGGCAGAGGGAGTGGGGGCTGGGGGCGAACGAGGACGGGGCAGCAGAGGGGAAGGGTGGAAGCGGGGGCCAGGACGCCCAGCTGGGCACACGCCTCGCAGGAGCAAATGCCTCCTGATGTCAACCCGAGTCCCATCTGCTGTGGACACAACTCCCCCTGGCCTTGGTCTTTCCACAGCTGGTTTGGGTCCAGACCCTAGACTTTCCTGGAAGGTCCAGCTCAACATGGGGGCAGCCATGTTATCCCTTCTATTTTTCTCAAACCTGGGGGAACGGGAATCAAAGTCACATGGTCAGCCAGATAGGGTCTCTCCCCAATTTTTGAGCCATCTGGCGAGGGGGGCTCCGCTCTCCCTCCCTCAGAGCTCCTCCACACCCGGGGGTCCCCAGCGGGCAGTCAGGCCCCGGAATTTCACTGACTGTGGTGAGGACTCGTGCACGCGCGTGCGCGCCTCCACACACAAGCATCACGATGCAATCGGGCACGTTAAAAGACAGGCGGGACTGCTCGCGGTGAGACGGACCCCCCTGCCCTCCCCAAACTCACGTTCGAGGCAGCCCAGCCCCCGCCCGGCGAGCCCCCACCCGCGCGCACGCGGGCCTCCTCGCTCGCGCGCTGACACGCTCGCACAGACGCAGGCGCGCGCTCGGCGCCCCCCTTCTGCTCGGCGCCGGGAAGCGGGGGCGGCGGGAGGGACAGGAGACGCTGGCCCCGTTCGCCGCTCTGCAGTCGCCGCAGCGTCGGGACCCGGACCAGCCGAGCCGCGGACGTGCCGCCGCGTGTCCTCTCGGCGCCGGGAGCCCGGAGCCGCGCGGGGACCCGCTTCAGCACCGCGGACAGAGCCAGACGCACGGGCGGGCTCCGAGACCTTCCCTCGGGCACCCCCTTCCCTCCCTCAGGCGTCCCGGGACTGAGGCTCCCGCGGAAGACGTGGCGCCCCACGCTCGCGGGACCGGGTGCACGCAGGACGGCCGGGGCGCCCCGCTGGGGATGCGCCGAGGGCCCCGCGTTGGCGCTGCCCGGAGCCAGGGCGCTGCCCGGAGCCCATGAGCACCATGCGCCTGCTGACACTCGCCCTGCTCTTCTCCTGCTCCTTCGCCCGTGCCGCCTGCGACCCCAAGATCGTCAACATCGGTGCGGTGTTGAGCACGCGGAAGCACGAGCAGATGTTCCGCGAGGCCGTGAACCAGGCCAACAAGCGGCACGGCTCCTGGAAGATCCAGCTCAACGCCACCTCCGTCACCCACAAGCCCAATGCCATCCAGATGGCCCTGTCGGTGTGCGAGGACCTCATCTCCAGCCAGGTGCTTGCCGCCCCCCATTCCGATCCGCCGGCTCCCGCCCCTCCCCCCCTCCTGCTGCCCCAGTTCCATTTCATCCTTCCCTAGCCCTCCCTCTTGCATCCCTGAAGAGAGGACCCCCGAGTGATCTGGCGGACCCGGCGGCTGCCCGCCCCCATTTGCCCATGCTGAGTTCTGGGCAGGGCTGGTGTCACTAGCAGCCAACACCAACGTTGGCCGGTGCCACATCTCAGACCCCAGACCGGCCACCTGCCTCCCTGGCCAGTCCTCACAGGGGTCCCAGGGCTCCAGGCCCTGACCGGTGTGTGCAGACACGTGGCAGGCATTTATCTGGAGGCTGGTTTCCTGCCGTGTGCTTGTGGGGGCGGGTGTTCCCGGCGCAGGCCCGCCCAGCCGCCTTGCTCGCACTGCGCAGTGCTGGGATCAGAAAGGGCCTGCGGCCTTTGTTTCTGCTTCTAGACCTCCTACCTTTCCTCCCCCTCCCCCACGTGCGGTCTTCCTGACCTGGGAAATGGCCCAGGTGTTCAGCAGGGTGATCTGTAGTATGGGAGCGCAGCTACGGGTGGTGGCGTGGGCACAGAGCCGCTGGCCGCTGGCCCTGCGGGGGAGGACACGACTCCTGGGATTTTGCCTGTGGGAGCTGTCCGCCCCTGGGCCGCGCTGCCAGCGGGATGCCTGTGAAGCCACAGATCACTGCAGCACAGCCCTTTACATGAGAGGCAGAGCCAGCAGTGGGCCGGCACTGCTCACACATGCTCACGTCCAGCCCTGTTCATGGAGAGATGCACAGACTTACACTAGCATGTGCTCTTGCACGTCAGCATTATGTAATCCACTGCACATGCTCACATACACCTGTCCACTCACATGCATGTGCCACACAGTATTTGGCACACCCAGGTGCACATGCAAGTGTGTGCTCACACACCTGGCTCAATCAAGAATGCACACGCAATACACATACGGCTGTCAGGCAAACAGTGCACACACTCATGAGCACCCTCATGGTCACACACATGCACACATATACTCATGCAAATGCTGGCTGCCACCTCTGGGTGCAGACAGGGCTGAGGGTGGGTGGGATCAGTCCAGCAGCTCCAGCTGCTCAGCCTGGACAGAGCTTCACTCAGAAATCTCCTCCCACCCCTCAGCCCGGGAGCACCGAGGGCCAAGGGCCAGGACTGGGTGAAGCCTCTGGTCACACGCTTCATCTGGGCCAGGGAAGAGACATGGAGTGGTCAGAGAGTCAAGGTCCCCTTTCTGTGGATCCCTCTCTGACTCACTCACAGTTGCACTGAAATCACTGTCCCCTCGGAGAACAGCCAGTACCAGGAGCAAAGAGACAGCAGCAGCTGTCACTCACAGAGCACCGGCTCTGTGCTGGCACGACAGTCACTGTGCCTGCCACCTGGGGCCAGCGCATGCCCCCCTCCCATTTGCAGGAGCAGGTGGTCCCTGCCCCTCAGAGAGGGGACAGCAGAGTTGAGACACAGGTCCTCCTAGTGTAGGGCACCACGGAAATCACCAGGTTATCTGTCCCACCTGTCTCCCTGTCACTGGCTTCAGACCTGCCCACAGGGGCCTTGGTTCCGGCAGGAAGCTGGCTGCCTCCCAGCACCTCCCTTGCCTTCCTTGATCTTGAAGTCAGCCCTGGGTTTTGTTTGGACGGAGCCCAGGCTGCCCTGGAAGACAGCAGCAAAGGACTGAGGCCCTGGGTGGCCTCTCGCCGCGTGGTTTCTCCTGCTAAAGCGAATGCTCTCCCCTGCACTGAGCAGATGCAGACCTGCAGGAGCTGCCCTCTGTCTCTGGAGCCTGACCTCCACCTACCTCTGGCCCAGGAGGAGGGACAGTGGGTGCCTGGGTGCGGCTGTCACAGGACGCAGGACCAGCCATTCTCCCCGGCTACACAGGGGGTGCATCCCACCCTGGGGGCAGCATGTTCAGCCCTGGGGCTTCCAAAGGACAGGCCTTCACCTGCCCATACCTCAGGGTGTTGCCCCCAGGTGGCAGGGGCAGCCTGAGGAGGGGTCTTCATCTGTGTGTCTCCTGGCTCCAGAGTCTTACTCTGTCTCTGATTTGTCCCTACAACTCATTTATACTCAGGGGGTGTCTGTGGGCCTCGCCTCCTGTCTGTGGTTATGAACCCCAGGACTGTGAGCACAAACGGGGCCCTGGACACTGCCCCACTGCCTGTCTGGCCCAGCCTCTGCTGCATCTGGTGCCCAGCCTGCTCCCTGCTCCGGCTGACCCTGTCCCCTGTGTCCTCAGGTATACGCCATCCTAGTCAGCCACCCACCTACCCCCAACGACCACTTCACTCCCACCCCCGTCTCTTACACCGCCGGCTTCTACCGCATCCCCGTCCTGGGGCTGACCACCCGCATGTCCATCTACTCGGACAAGGTAAGTCTGCCCGTTGGATGGGCACCCAGCCAGCTCTGCTCCTGCGTCCAGGGGCCCTGGAAGCTGCCCAGTGAGAGGGGCGGGGCTCAGACAGAGGTGCTCAGAACATGGGCTCCAGGCTCGAGGAGCAGCAGGGGGCAGGTGAGCACACGGGTTCACACATGCTCATGCACCCCCGCACACACTCATAGTCTCAGACACACACAGGCTCACTTACACTCATGCACACCAATAATACGCAAACTCATGCAGACTCACAGGTACCAACAAATCCATACACTCACTCACACCTACATATATCTGTGAACACACACACAACACCTTCATGCAACACACACATTTGCATGCATGCACTCACACTCATGTGCACATTCACTTAAACGAATGTGTCCCCCCTCCAACACACACTGTTCACACACTTGTACTCACACTTGTCACACACCCATGCACTTAGGTAGGCACCCACTAGCAGCTGACAGGCTCCAACAGTGAGCCCTGGGAGGCAGCAGGGGTCCTTTCGGTGGGAGGAGCATGGACAGGGAGGCCTCCTGCACAACGTGGTGGGCAGACTTTGGAGAGTGGGAGAGGGGCCCCAGGGGTAGGAAGGCCCGTGGCCTGCAGGGTAGCCATGTGGCTGTGGCTCCCAGCCCTGCCAGGGGTGTCCACAGAGGTGAGGGGTGGGTCTGCCCAGAGATGAAAGGAGAAAGATGGGTCACCTGATGGTGATTATACAGCAACTTGCTACGCTGATGGACAGTGACTGTAGTGGGG